AATCCCAACCACAAAAAACTTCGCTCAAGACCAGACTTATCCATACTGCAAAGAATCCGCTCTTGTGAACTCCGCAATGAACTCAAAAGATGTCTACACAATGGAGAGAAGGATCTCTACATTGACTACAGTGCAGATTGTATCAAAAGTAAGTCACACAACCCACAACTCCACATCCAACCCCACCCCATCCAATCCAACATCACTCAAAACTAGGCATGCACGCCCCTAACTACCTCTATTCCAACCACAACTGGCCTTAAATGCAAGCTACAATGCAAGAAACCTTGGAAAAAAAATACCTGAATTTCTCTTTTTACTAAATATGGCTAAATTCGACATCATATTTGTCTGTGAAACATGGCTCAATGCATGGCTTGACCCTGACTCCATTACCACAGTAAGAGACTATCATGTTTACCGATCAGATCATGAAATCCATAGAGGAGGTGGTGTTGCTATCTTCTATAAAAAGTCCTTACATCTAAAAAACATCCAAGTTACCCAAGAGCTTGCTCTTCCTGAGACCATCGTCTGTGAACTGTCCTTAAATATCAAATTTCGATTCTTACTATGTTAGAGAGCCTCTGATTATGACATTGAACATGTAAACAAGCTAAATTAATTACTAACATGGGCAACATCCTGTCCCCACACTTTTATCTTTCTTGGTGACTTCAATCTACCTCAAATTAACTGGACCTTAAACGAATGTAAAACTGAACCCATACATGCAACCTTCTACAATGCTGTAACAAACCTGGGACTGGAATAACTAGTAACCAACAATACTAGACTTAACAACGGCCTCAATCTCATCTTCTGCAATAGTTTGAATTCAATTTATGGAATACAAATTAAAAAAAACCTTTCCAACACTGACCAAAGTATGATTGACATACGTCCACACAAAAATCAACACAACGATGTGATTCCCAATTATAACTTCAAAAAAGGCAACTATGATCTTATAGACAATGATCTCTCTTCCCTTGATTGGCAATTTCTATTCACTGGATGCAATACTGTTGAAGACCATTACAACATATTTTTACTTGAAGTCAAAAGAGTCATCAAACTATATGTACCAATAACAACTCCAAAAACCAGAAAAAACAGATTACCCAAAACAATAAGGAAGCTTCAATCCAAAAAGAGATCACTTTGGTGGAAAAACAAATCTGGTCACATTGCCAACTTCAAAAGCCGATACAAAAATTTATGCCACCAGATAAAGACTGAATGCACCAATTATAACATTAAAGAAGAGGAAAACCTTCTACACACCAATTCCACCCGCACTTTCTACAATTTTGTGAACAACAAACTAAAAGACTCAAGGTCCATCCCACCCCGAAAGGACCTAATGGTAAAGACTGCAATGATGACACCATTAAAGCCAACTTCTTTAACACATTCTTTGGCTCATTATTTGTAAACAGCAATGGATCATGCCCCGTATTTCCTCATCGAACCACAGACAACTACAATGATCTAATACATATCAATTTTACAGAAGACAATGTTGAAAAAGCACTACGCAATCTAAAACCATCTCTATCTATTGGACCAGACAGAATATGTGCCTACTTCTTAAAAAAGCTATCCACTGCCATAGCCGAACCTCTAAGCATAATCTTTGAAAAATCTTTCAGGACCAGCTCCTTGCCAAAACTATGGCCACAAGTCACGGTCATCCCCATCTTCAAAAAGGGAGACCCCAGCCTAGTTGAAAATTACAGACCAATCTCTTTATGCTGCATCACCTGTAAAGTCATGGAATCAATTATTAACCAATCCATTATCCTCCACTTAGAGACAAACAACCTACTCTCTAATAAACAATTTGGTTTCAGAAAAAAAACTATCCTGTAATCTGCAACTCTTACACTGCAAAAACATATGGACGACACAACTCGACCAGGGCAAAGCAATAGACGCAATCTACATAGACTTCTGTAAAGCCATTGATTCAGTGGTACACGACAAACTACTCCTAAAACTAAAATCTTACGGTATCTCTGGACACCTGCATAACTGGATAGAAGCATTCCTGTCAAACAGACAACAAATGGTCAAAATTGGGAGCGTCCTATCAAATTCTGTACCTGTCAACAGTGGTGTCCCCCAAGGCAGTGTTCTAGGACCAACTCTCTTCATACTCTACATAATTGACCTCTGTGATCATATTAAGAGCAACTGCGTTCTCTTCGCTGACAATGTAAAGCTATTCAACACCACAGACAATACTGCTACCCTTCAAAAAGACCTCGACTATGTATCAGAATGGTCAAACAAATGGCAACTTCAAATCTCAACAAACAAATGCTCTGTCTTACATATTGACAAAAAAAAATCAGAAAATAAAATACAGGCTGAATAGTCAAGATCTTGTTGATGACCCAAGCTCTGGAAAGGACCTTGGAGTACTCATCTCTAATGATCTAAGTGCTAGAGACCACTGTAACTACATAGCCAAAAAGGCAATAAGAGTTGTTAACCTAATCTTACATAGCTTTTTCTCTGGTAATATTACACCGCTAACCAGAGCATACAAAACATTTGCTAGACCAATACTCGAATACAGCTCATCAGTCTGAAACCCACATTATGTATCTGATATTAACACAGTTGAGAAAGTCCAGAAATATTTCACAAGAAGAGTTCTCCACTCCTCTACTCATTGCAGAATACCTTATGCCACCAGACTTGAAATTCTAGACCTAGAAAACCTAGAACTATGCCGCCTTCAATCCGATCTAAGTATAGTATATAAAATCATACATTGCAATGTCCTACTTGTCAATGAATATTTCAGCTTCAACCATAACAATACAAGAGCAAACAATAGATACAAACTCAAGGTTAATCACACCAAACTTGATTGCAGGAAACACGACTTTGGCAACAGAGTGGTCAATGTCTGGAATACTCTACCTGACTGTGGTTTTTTCCTCAAACCCCAAAAACTTTGACCTTAGACTGTCTACTATTGACTTCACCCCTTTCCTAAGAGGTCTGTAGAGGGCGTGCATAAGCACACCAACATGCCTACCATCCCTGTCCTATTGTTTATTTTATTTTTCTTATATGTATCTATGTATTCATAACTATGTTTTTACTTATACCTATTATCTTGTAAGCAATTGACAAACCAAATAAAAGAAAAAATAAAATAAATAAAATTAGCATCCATCTTGAAACAAACAAGATATTATGAAGAAAGAGGAACTGATAGTAGCGTTTTGTTGGAAAAAGCACATATTGTATGTCAGTTGATATTATTATACAATGTAGGGCAGTTACACAATTAGATCAAAAGTAAACCATTTGATTTAAGAGGCACAGAATATAGTCACACATTCAGCTCTACCACTGGTAATCAGCAGTATACTAAACATAAGGAGGTCTGCTTATATATTGCTGCAAATAGGCTGTTATTTCTTTAATGAAAAAGTTCTTGATAAGAATAGTGATTGGAGAAACGTTTAAGGAATCTTAATTAAGCTACTGCAAAAAGCATTTTATTTAATTGTAAAGTAAAATCATTATTCCTTCAATTTTCTTTTTTCTTAAAACAGTTTTCTTTAGGTCAGATCCACTTCCTACATTCTGGCTTACATACATATTTGTGGTGGTCAAAAAGATTCTGAACATAATAGCAATTGCACAGATTTAAAAAGAACCAACCATCTGCCCAGGGAAAGAATGTGGTGCTGATTTTGGAATCGTTAAAAGCAGTAAACAGTGTTGTGTTATGAAAAGTGTGTAAAAAAATGTCCTATGATCTCTGCTATCCGAGGGCATATATGCATACCTACCCTTTGTTTTGCAATCAGTGGAAACCCGCCTCTTCCAGATTAATAGTTACACAGGATGCCATTTTTAATAATCTTATGATTTTTCAGTTTTATCATTTATTTATTTTAATGCATTCTGCTTTTAATACTTAAATTCTATCAGCTGCCTAGAGCTGGTTATGTGGGTGCTCTGATAAAATTTACAAATAAATAAATCTTATCTCCTACAGCTCTTAGACATGTGACTATAGCAGTTATATGGATATTATTTCTTGCCAGCAGACATGTTCCAATGTACTTTGCTTGGATCCTTATTTGCACATTTTGTGCTTGATTGATTAACTAGAGTTAGTCAATATGAACACCAGCTCCCCAGTGAAATAGTGTTGGTATTTTTATTTGTAGATCAGAGGTAAGCAATCTGGTAATTTCCTAATAGTTCAAACCAGCAGAAGCAACTGATGAAGGGATTTAATAGGCCCTCCAATTTTTTGGTAGTCACATTTAGAATTCCAGAATGGTGTCCTTTCAAACCAGTTTTGTAGTTGCTGTGACTGTGAGCTTTCTCCCTATTAACCTTCTTGACACCAAGGATGCTCTCTACTATTTTGTTTTATTATTATTTTTTCTGAACACTTAGCCCTAAGATCCAGCCACTCTTCATTTTATTCTCAGAACAACTCTGGAATTTAAATAGAGATCACTATATTATGGGAAATAAAAATTATGCTTAAGAGTGTATCTACAGGGTAGCTGCTCATTTTTACACACATTCACACAACATGTATTAATAGCTTTGTGGATGCTAAGGCAGATGTCACCTGCTACACTGGTGCCTGTGATGAAAGTTCAGTATGTGTATTTTCAAAGAAAAATTGAATATGGGTTTAACTATAGAATGGGAATCGAGTTCATGGCTCATTGGCTTCTTTTAAACCATTTAAGAATGGGACTTTTGTGTATATGTTGTATAATATACTGTTGAAGCAATAACCCAAGATTATTGTTTTACTTATGCCATAGGGGATTTATAACTAAAAATGTTATGGTTTGACATCTAGTCACAATCACGCTGCAAAAGGTAAAAATAATGATACAATAAAGAATAATGGCGAATGAGATTTTAGAAATGATGGCTAAAATTCATCCCTCACAACAGAAGTGGGATTAATACATTTCTGTGCACAAATGGTACAGTACCTTGTTTGTTGTTCTTCATTAAATCTACCAACATTTCCCCTCCAGTTCCAAAACCATTTGTTTCATGCTCTAGCTCCATTTCGGTATCACTGCTACTGCTAGCAGAGTAAGTGCACACCCTCAGTGCCCTGTCCTGTACAAAACAACATATAATTCCTTGACTCAAAAGAGAAAACATTTCACCAAAAACAGTGGATCTGGAGTGCAGGCAAATAAGGTGAATCCTTTTTATCTCTTTCATCCCAAACAATTTATTTAGCTGCTGCCATTTGCTATCGATTATGTCATTAAATGTCACAATCCCTGAGCATTCTCCCAGCACAACCTAATTATTAAAACCAGTTTGCGCACAATCCAGCTACAGAATCCACTTTGCTTTAATGTTATAACAAAACATTTGAGTAAAAAGGATCCACAAAGAGTTAGTAGCAACCTAGGAATTCAGAGTGGGTCATTTGCCTGTTTTTTCTCTGGGGTATGATCCCTGAACTGACAGAATTGGAAGCAAACATTACTCACAGGGTGAGGAACACTTTGGAAATATTTTGGATGTTCCCTATATTATAATTTTATGGGTTGGCATTTGTATTTTTATTGTTTTATAGATATTTATTTCTTAGGATTATAATTTTTAATGCTGTAAGCCACACAGAGTCATTTCGTTATGAGGTAGGTGACAAATAAATTAAATAAATACATGAATAAAATATTAAAGAACCATAACATTGAAGGGACCTTAGATGTCATCTAATACAGTGGTCCCCAACCTTTCCGGCTTGGTGGCCTGGTGAGGGGCGAGAGGGGATAGTTATCTGTGAGTGGTAGGCATACGCACAAGTCGCAAACAGCTCCATTTGCACATGCATGCGCTCACTCATTGCTTGCACGTCCCGGTTCTCAATGGGCTGTGGCACACTAGTGGTCTGTGGTCTGTGGGTTGGGACCCCTGATCTAGTACAGTGCCTATCCAGCACAGGAATCCAATTCTGCAGTATCTTCCTATGAAACAAAATGTACTGTATTGTAGTAGGGAACCCTGAATCAATACCATTCTCCAGAGGTACAATCTTCTGTAAACATTATTGTTTTTATTTTATTTGTGCTTATATCTAAGCATAGTGCTATACTGAGTTTTTCTCATAACTATCACCTGCTGAGGTTGATGGAGTTGAGAGAAGAGTAACTGGCTCAGAGTCATCTAGGGAGGCTTCTGTGGCTGAAAGGGGTTGAAGTTGTTGTGGTTAAGGTGCTGGCTTAGAAACCAGGAGCTGATGAATTCTAATCCTGCTTTAGGGATGAAAGCTGGCTAGATGACTCTGGCCAATCACTCTCAGTTTACCCACCTCACAGGGTTGTTGTTATGGGGAAAATAAAAGGAGGAAGGAGTATTAAATATATTCATCGCCTTGAGTTACTTGTAAAAATAATACATGCGAGATAAAAATATAATAAAACTTAGGTCTTCCCACTCAAATCCAATACCTTAATCACCATACCACCTTGACTTCACCTCACTATTCTAAAGGAAAAGATTCAGACTATTATCTTAAGGGACTATAGATTTATTCTAATTCTTTATTTGGCACAATGCAAATAATTGTATGATTGTAATTTTTCAATATAGCTTTTTAAAAAATATATTGATTGAAGATAGATATGTAGTATCTTCTTGATTAATTTCTTCTCTTTTTTCCAAAGGAAATTCTGGGTTTGATCACAGAAATGCAATGGGCTTTCCTTTTACTCTTTCACACAGTCCAGGTTTCCAAGAGAAATCAACCCAAGTATTTTTCTCTCGGAGAAGAAAATATAACTGCTTCATGTATCCTTTGCACTTCAAAAAACGAAAGCAGCTTTGGATGAAGGCAACTTTGATTCAGAAAAAAAAAATTACAGCAAAAAAATTTAAACATTCCTATCTTCAATGCCTCTTTTATCAAATTCAAGGCTGCTAACACTTGCAGTAAAGAAAATAACAACAGCAGGAAATATTCTATGTATTTTTCACATTAAACTTTGGCCTTCAAATTCTCTTGCAATTGACCTCAGTTTCCTGGAACATAGTAAGAGGCAGAATATGATCACTTTTTAAAAAGAGATAGTATGAAACTACAGTAATCAGTACATACAAAAAAAAAGAAAAACAAAATGAATCTCTACTATATAGTGTTTGGGGATAACAAAGGCTTGATGTCTTAAGTTGCTAGATTACTTGACATCATGTCACAATTTACTCCCCTGTAAATTAACTCTGCAACCAATAATAACAATTATTTGTAAATATTGTAAATGAAATGGGAAAGCACATATAGTGTATTAATGCTAACGAATATGCATGATATATTACTGAACAGAACTTTTGTTCAATGTAAGTTTATTTTTGGTAAACCTACTGCTACACAAAATATTCAGCAATAATGTTATCCTACCATTCTTCTCTCTGTTAAACAGCTCACAACTTGTATGGAAATGATGAGAGACTATTGGATTTGGTCTAAAAACAGAGGTAAGGTATTTCCTTGCCATGAGCCTTATTGGGTGTTGGGTTTGTCATATGAATCATAACAATCTGGCTTATACCAAGTTTGACCTTAAGCCCGTCTTTTCTACTGCTCTATACTAAATGGCAATAGTTGTTCAGGATTTTAGGCAATATTTTTTCCACTATAACATGGAGAAGCCAGGGCTGAACATGGGACATTCGGAATACAATCCATCAATCCATCAGTTATAATACTGTGTTATAAGCAAATTCCTAATATAACTGACATCACAGAGTTTGTGAGGATGAAGTAGGGGATCAGATAATATTTAGGGGACGGACAGAATATAAATTTGAGAAATAAATCAAATACTTGCAAAATCTTTTACATTTATACCTTGGCTTTGATAACATTCTTGCTGCTCCAGTCTGGAAACATCTTTACGTTGCTACTTTTTTCTTTCTCTAAATCATCTAATGATCCTGAAGCCAAACAATTTGATTCTTGACTGTTGTTTTCCATAGGACTTGTTACTCCTGGACAACAACAACAACAAAAATCGAACATGGTGTCTTGGATTCTGTTTGCATGAGAGGATCAGATTCATTTATGAATTGACTGATTACACTATGGTCATGTGAAAAAGAGAGAACAGGGGCTTGCAGAATGTTACAAATGCAGAATATCTGCATATTCTTCTTTATCCAGAAAACATGTAGTCATCTCTGCCAGAAGACATTTACCAATAAATTGGATGTTAAAGTAAATGCAATGAATTGACAACATTTTTTAATAAACTAAATCTCTTCCCTTTCAATAAATTTGAGTAAAGAAGACTGGGTGGGAATATCACTTCTTCATTGTAAGCTGCTGCTAAGGGCTTGATAGCTCCATTTCTACACAATGGAGGAAGAAGAAGTAGACAAAACTAACCTGATATACAAGCCAAATCACTTAATATTATGGATATACAAAAGCCAAATCACTTAATATTATTCTTACATTATCAAGAGCATACTTCCCAGCCATCCCTATTGTTAGGGATATGCGAGAAGAGTACATATAATCTCCAATTATAAATAAAATAAATACATTGGCACTGAAAACACAAAGATCTTTGGGTTCTGACCATTTTTAATGGAAAGCTTGAGGAAGGGAACCATCAGATATAGATTTTCCAACTCAGAAGAAAAGAATGAAGCAATGCAAAAAAAAAAATTCTCTCACCACAAGTGTTCTTAGCCAAACAATTTACTCTTTTTCAACTGAACAACTTGTAGAACAAGAGCAGACGTAAATCACAGTGCTTTGTAAGATTCACTGTATGCATGCATATGGGAGGGGAAAAGAGAGATTGGTGAGAAGATAACATTTGAAAGTGAGAATGACCTCCCAATCTGCAGCATACCAGACTTTTTTTTTAAAAAAAACCTTCCAAGACGATTTAATTAAGAAACAGACCATAGAAGACTGGTGCAGTGAATATTAGCATTAAGATCAGGACAATCTTACTGCTACTGAGTTCTTATGAAGCAATTCAGTGCTTGCAGTTTCTATTCAATTTGTTATAATGACAGTGTTTAATCATGGAGTCTTTTCTATAGCACGCTGCTGAACTGAGGTCACACATGTGGCTATTCAAGCATGTAGCATATAATCTATAACTAAGATTTCTGTTCTAAATCTCCTTTAGTTGTGCTATTAATTAACAATACACTTTTTAAAAAAATACTTTAACTTAAAATACCTTTTCTTTAACTACAATCTGAAATGAGCAGGGGAGTTTCCAATGAACCATACAGCATGTATTTGCATTCTGTTATAAGCAGTACAAACCTGTATTAGGAATATTATTAAACCAATTAAATTCCAGCATGTTTAATTAGAAGGTGTCTCATAAACTTTGAAGAATCTTTAAAGCAGCTTATTTACTCATCTGTTCAATTTAAATATTGACACATTAGCAAAACATTATTTGGGAATCTTGCAGTAGATTTCTAATTCTCATTTGAATGTGGCAGTCGGATAAAAGGTCAGCTTTGCCAAATAATTGTACAGTCTAAACACGTTAATGTATTCTTCTGTTTTAAACATTTCTTTTTCTTTTATGAAGTACATGGGATCATGATTCAAATACTTAAAAAAAAAATAACATTTAGCACACGAGGTTCACGTATCAGTGATGAACTTGAAAAGGGCAGCCTTTTATATTTCTCAGTAAAATGTCTATGGAGATTCTCAATCATCCAGTCACAAACATTTTATTCAGAATCCCAAAGGTGCTTTTCAAAAGTCAACTACACTTTCTTGGGTGTTTTGTTTTTTTCTCCCTTGAAAACATTTCACTTCTCATCCAAGAAGCTTCTTCAGTTCAACTTGAATGGAAGAAGCTTCTTGGATGAGAAGCAAAACGTTTTCAAGGGGGAAAAAACCCAAGAAAGTCCAATTGCCTTTTGAAAAGCACCTTTGGGATTCTGAATGAAATGGTTACGCTATTTCTAAATATAGATGTATGAATGCTTCATATAACAAGAATAATCAGTGGGGTACTTTCAAGAGCTTGCATTGGCATTTACAACAAATCCACCAGGATTAAGACCCATATGGACACATAGGACATACCCACACATTACATGCACATACACCCATAAACATTTTAAAAGGAAAAGCTTTCCCAATTTGGAAAAATCTGCAATTTGCTTTTGACTAAAGCCTAAACTTGCCCTGGCTTAGCTCTGACATTATCCACAAGGTATTGAAAGACATGGTGTGGAAGAGTAAGCTGCTGGAACAAAATTGCAGGCACTCTGCTCCCTTCTTTTTCTCCTATTTGGGATTTTTCCCCAGCGTCAGCCTAGGAGAATTGCCACTAAAGCTGCAATCTTGACACAAATGTGGTAGGAGGTGTGTGCTTTGGAGCTCTGCAGCCGCCAACAGAGTACAGCAGCCAAATGAATGAAGGTGGTTTTCCCTCAGCAGGAGTGGAGTGGCTCCGAAAGAGAGGAAAAGAAGTATAAAGGCTCAGCTAGATAAAGCACAACATAAAAACAAGATGCAAGGACTCTACATAATGGCCATTTACAGAAAAAAGAAGAAATATCAGAGAGGGTGTGTGTGGGGGGGGGCACTTAAGACAGAACAGACTTAAGACATAAATGTTGATGCATGTTAGCCATAATATGGAATACAGCGTATCATATATTGAATAGTAATAATATAGATTATAATATGAACATGTCAAATATAGTAATTGTCATATAATTATCATATACTGTAATATGAGCTTGTTTTTACAAAATAGAACCTCCCACCAATGGGAGATAGAAACAAACCACCTGTTTAGGGCCCAGTATGTTTGGGTCTCTCCTGAATCTGGGTCAGGCTAACTGGGGTACAGTTTAAAATAGAACTTGTAACACATGCTATGTCTTCTTTATAAGACAATAGATCACCATTCAGCATCAGAGCATCTCCATTTCACTGGGATCCCCGGCTTGTAAAACATCTAGGGTAATGCGAGGAGTCTTTTCAGCTGCATTTTCCACACGTTTTTACAGAATGTTATCTGCTAGGAGGGCCTCTGCTAATGAAAACTGACAGGTGGACACAAGGCATCTCATTTGCAAAAAAAACCAGACGCTGTCATTTTTACCTGAAGAAGCTGCTTTTGGAAGATGACTCTTCAAAGCCTGCACACCTCTATCAGCCATCATGGGATCTGATGCCGAATGAGAAATTACACTCTCGACAGATCCCGGGCTTTTATTAGTTGTTGAAGGCACTTCACGTTCTAGGGTTTGGGCTTTCTCAGATGGAGCCTGAGGAAAAGGTTGCTTGGGTGACGTGAAATCTTCATTTTCTAAATCCAGTCCTTGTTTAGAAACGTGTCGGCCCGTCGAACGGTTTCCTGAGTCCGGAAGAGGAAAGGTTCCTATTCCACTGTCCAAGGTTCTCATTTGGCAGCAGGATTCTAAAAGGTAAAAAGACAGGCTACTTTCAATGGAAAAGACAAAGCACCACAACAGAGAGTACCTTGAAGGAAGGGCTTCTGTGTAAAGGAAAAGGTTATGGCTCATAGGCTTTGTACATACATCCCTAGCTGGGAGTATTTTAAAATGAGATAAGGCCTTTAAAAAAACTGAGAAAAATCATTGCAAGTCAAAGCGAACAGTATTGATCTATTTATTTTTTTTATTTATTAAAAAAAATTATAAATTTTTAAAGCTGCCTGAATCTATAACACCCTTAGGAGGGTTTAAACAATTAAAATAATAATAAAAAATAAAGCAGAAAATTAAAAAAGGGGTTCGGGAAGGAGAACCATCTAGGTTAAAAAAAATATTCTACAAGAAATCCATCATGCACTTTAACCAATTGATCAGGAACTTTTAAATGAAAGCAGGGGAGAAGCCATGGGAGATCTCTGGAGAAATGCTGTTCCAGAGGACTGGCAGAGCATAGGCATGCTTCCTGGATCCCATCAGATCACTTTGTCTGAGCAATGGGATCTGCAGGAGTCCAAATCTGTCTGATCCAATAGTAGATCTGCTGGAGATAGACAGTCCCTCAGATAGCCAGGCCCTAGTCCATGGACCAGACCTTGAATTGCAATCATCCAGCCCATTGCAATCATCCATATAAAAGTGACTAAGGCATGAGCCTGTCTGGATAGCCTCTCAATTCAGGAATGGACATAACTGACACACAAGGTAAACGTGTGTGAAGGCCTTCCTAGAAAGAGCTGCCACCTGCTTTTTAAACAAGAGCTGTGCATCCTGGAAAAAAACCCAGATTGTGCACCAGTCCAGAATAAGCAAGTGCTACCTCATCCACCACTAAAAATGAAGTTTCTCCGGGGCCAAATGATCCAAATCACAACTGTTCAATCTTGACAGAGTTGAGTGTGAGTCTGTTTCTCCTCACCAGCTCCCTCATAGCTTGCAAGCATTGGGAGAAAACTTCTAACAACATCTCTTAGAGATAGCATACTGATTTATTGGATAAGCAAGCCAAAATGATCTAAGTATGACAAAAGATTGCAAGCAATGTTCTTCAATGTCAGATCACAAAAACTACATCTAAAAGTATATATATATCATGCTCTTAAAGATTTGGGTCAGGGTCATGGTGGCCAAGAACACAGCTGGCCCAAACTCTGAGTCACCCTGGGTCATCCCACAATTTCTATTGAACTATAAAACCTTTTCTTTTTGACAATCTTAGGATCCAACCTATTCAAATAGTGTGGTAGTACAATAAAACTAAGTATAAAGCAAAACAAAATGTCTGTTCTGTAGCTACCAGCGTTGTCCATTACCTAATAATACCACTGATCCAATTTCAAGGCATTCTTGGGAAAAAATTGAAATACAGAGCATATGCAAACCAGATATTCCACTTTACTGCCATCTATATTAAAAATGGAAGTAAGGCATGGAGTACAAGTTAATCAGAACTGTTGCAAGTTGCATAGCTAGCTTTGGCCTATATAAGTAATACAGATCTAGTACATTTCAATATACTCTGAAATTTTATTTTACTTTTTTATTTTATTAATCAAATGTATTTGCTTCCCAATCTTGCCATGGGTCTATTCTGGGCAACTTACAACAGTAAATGGGAAAAAATGATAAAAAATGTAAACATAACATTAGTAAAGCAATGAAACAATAAAAATAAACAATGAAAATACAATATGAATTAAAAGATGGTTGGTGTGGAATATTATAGTATATGGTCCTAAAAGAATCACAAAACAAGTAAAATGAAGCTTTTGTTAGAGGTATTATCTTTTATTTTTCCTAAGGGACTTTCATAATAGCATTTGCTATTACAGTTATAACTTCACATACTTCCTAGAATGACTTTAGTCTAAATAAGACAGGGTTAGGCTATTATTTGTAGAGAGGAATCTCAAAATGCTATCATGTAAAGTTATTTTTAACCAGCCCAGTAGTTATCTGGAAATACATCAATCTGGGGTGTTTGAGATTTGAGCAAGGACTGTACTTTTCTTCTAAAATAAAAGTCAAAGCATCCCAATTATTTTAGGCTCACTAAGTTACTCACAGAATTGTAAAATTGGCTTAGGAGACTACATGAAGTGAAAGATCGCACAGAATAAACTGTACACCAAATGTAGACCTTACAACTATTCTATTTCAGGCCATCCAATACATGTCATTCTAGAGACAGATATAAGGAAATAAAAAGGGTATCCATGCATTCTGAACACTGTATGCACATAGAAATAGATGGAATTTGTTTGAGTAAGAACAAATAATGGTAAGATTAGGAAAGTATTGGCCTATCACTCATGTGTAGCAATTAACCACCACTATTTCAGCACCATGGACAGCTCCTATCTAAACTTCAAAGTGTGTGTAACAGTTTATACAACCTGAATAGTTTGCTGTATTTTAAACCAGGTTCAACAGTGTAAAATGATGGATGAATATCCAAGTGCACAAGCACCAAACTACAGTCTTTCTGAAAACACAAATAAGGAATATTTTTCAGAAATGAGTTTAAATTTTAGCTCCAAAAGGCAGTGAATATTACTACTAGTATTGTTGTTAGTAACACTATCCTTGACTAATTACCTTTACAATCTTCCAAGTTGTATTTCCACGTAAGGAGAGAGAAGCTAAAGGGTTGGGTTTTTTTTTTTGCTTTTTGCAGAAATGGACCACTGCCAGATTTAATGAATCAATCTAATTGTACTGTTCTTCCTTGCCCCCTCCTCTCTCCATATATTTGTAATGGACAAAGGCCATCTACAATGTTTACCATCATTGTACTATTTCAACTACTCACTTTTACAAGATTTATGAAAGGTGGGAGCTTTGGATCTATGATTCAAAAAGATAGTTTGCTCTGGAGAGGAAAGAGCAACATTCACCGAACAAATAAATAAATGTTTCTGTAATCATTTTAATCCTTTTTAATAATTTGTTCTCTAGACAAGAAAGATCCACGAATTTGATAAAAAGATTTTTTTAATATTTCTTCTCTCAGTTTCGTATAACGAATCAGTTCTTTGATATTACATTTTTCATTTTACTGATTCCATTAGCTCCAAAGTACCCCTCTTCAATATTCTTCAGTACAACTATAGGCAGTTATCTCTTATTATGTTTCACAGTTTATGTGAAATGAAAAGAAAATGAGCCCCATTAATGCCAATATCATTTACAAACAAGTTACCATGATTACGGAAAGTATTTTGAATTATAAATTCCACAGCACTAGCAAAGTGGTAGCAAGGCTCATTTGAAAGGGGCTCGAAGACTGAAATGTTATTCCCAAAATCCTGGATATCTGGAAGTTACTACAGCTAATTTTCAAATAAACATGAATTGGATCCAGCTGCAAATAAATGTCTGAGGCCTTCAACCTATATTGCAATAGTTTGTTTGGGTATCACCATTTAATTCCTCTTTGTGTTCAGAAAGCAAGTAAGAGCATTTCCTTCCTTCCTTCCTTCCTTCCTTCCTTCCTTCCTTCCTTCCTTTCCTTCCTTCCTTCTTCCCTCCCTCCCTCCCTCCCTCCCTGCCTCCCTCCCTCCCTCCCTTCTTCTTGCCCTTTGAAACCAGTCTCTTGATTTTACTCACAATAGTCCTATTTACTTGATTAAAAGAGTTAAATAACTGCCCGTTTTATATATCGTAACCCTGGACAGTTCAAAATGTAAAAAAAAACAAAGTGTAAAAGCAAACATTAATACTAACAGAAAGTAGATCTCATGGCACTTCCAAAACATTCCCCGTTTATCTACTGATCACCAGTCTCAATGTTTGTGGGAAGACCCAATGCTTCATGACCTTCTGGGAGCTTCTTCACTGATATACTTGACTGGGAAAGGGGGCTGAGGGTCACTCCGGCTTGCAAATGGGAAAATGAGATTAATTATCTTAGCCGATGACCCTGTGAGTGTTAAAAAATCCAAATAGCCTTGATTTGGACTAAAGCAGCCCTCCTCAACCATCATATGGTCTAAACTGCTTTCTGGGGGGCTAACTAACCCTATCACTTTGAATGCTGCTTCTCTAGGATTATTATTGTAGATCATCATCCGAATTTCCACGTGATTCCTTAGTTTATATTACTTGATTCTGACCTGAAGAGTTAGAACAACAAGCTATTCTGAATAAATTCCCATTATGCCATTGTTTCAGTGACCAGAATTCATTATCTCTCAAATTCCTCTCTATATTTTATGACAAAATAAAACATGGGAGCAAAATACTTTTTCTTCCCTTCTGCTCTAGCTCCTTGGAGGCAATTGTCAGTGAGACAGAAGAAAGTATCTCAATCTCAGTCCAGTAATTTTAAAGTCACTAATCAAGCTGGAAAATTAAAGAAATGTATCTGCTGAAAATCCCTGCAAGTGTATCAAGTTCACCCTTGCAGCAATGAGCACTAAGTTTTCCTTTCTTCTTGAAAAATATGAACAAAACAAGAGGAAAATATCCTCTGGTATTGAATCATATTTTCTTCTTAAAAGTGTAAAATGGAAGCTATTGTGCTTCCTGCTATTTGCAGGTTTCTGGAGAAATGAGAGAAAAATCTTGTGATTATATTATAGGTGTTCTATGTGACATTCAATGCAAACCTCCTTCCATCTAGACACAGTAATTTGCAAAATATTACAAAAGAGATTACACTAAAAGGGTTCATCGGTATCGCTACACACTTTCAGCTGACAAACGCAAAAGCATTAGCTTAAAACTGAGAAAGAGAGAGAAAAAAATAAGCTAAAAGTCTGATCACATCTTCTCACAACAAGCTATATAAAGCTGATGGGAAATCCACTTTTATTGTCAGCCTGAGAGGAAATTTAGAAAGTCCAGAGTTTGGGTATGTTTAAATTGTACTGAGGATGTATCTGAATTGGGGGAAGGACCTCAGCAGCTTATCTGAGGTCCCAGTAGCCATCCCAGGGTCTTCCTTGCCTTCTTTCCTCCTGCC